ACTGGCAGTTATCTCACGTTATTAAGAGAAGATGTACTGCCCATAACTGACGATACCTATACCAAGATAGATGTATTGTTAGAAGCCTATGGTGGGGCTGTTATAAAAGTACCTCTTCACAAAGTTTATATTCAAACAAGCTATTATACTGGTTATATTTCAGTGGGTATATCCAGTGGTGTATTTCCCATCAGGTCAGTGGACTTGTTGATAGGGAACGATATCCTTCATGCTGGTATATGTAAAGAACCACTTGTGATTGATAATAACACTGATGATTTTTTATGCCATTGAAGCTTTTAGAGAGAAAACTTTTTTTTATTTCCTCTCAGCGCAATTACTAGAGCTATGTCAAAGATTCAACAACCATCCTTGTCTCCTGTTAGAGTTAGTTGATGACAATGATTTGGGGTTGAATATGTTGTTTAGTGACGCTCTGCGCCCAGGGTCATTAACACTGGCTCCCCCCGGTCATCAACCTAGTCAGGACACTACTGACGTTAAATTTCTAACTCATGATGACTTAATCAAGGATCAGTTTGTTGATCAGTCACTGGAAAGACTGAGAGATATAGCAGTTACTGAGAGTGAAACAAAGGATCTCGATGATTGTTACTATTATAGTAACAGTGTACTGATGGAGAAAAATAAATGTAAGTTGTCAGCTGATAGTGTTTCCACCACAGTCAAGCATCTTGTAGTGTTACCAGTTACATTTCGTGAACAAGCCATTGATTTTGCTCACAATAGTCCCATAGGAGGACATTTGGGTGTCAAGAAAAAAACTTGGTAAACTGGCAAAACATTTTACTTGGCCTAAGATGAAGGAAACCCGTAGCTGATCATGTGCGACGTTGCCACGTGTGTCAAGTGACAGGCAAGCCAGCAAAACACACCTCCACCAGCGCCTCTCATTCCTATACCGTGGATGGTGAACCATTCTCACGTCTTATTATTGATTGTGTTGGTCCTTTGCCTAGAACCAAACTAGGAAACCAATACCTATTTACTATTATGGACGCTGCAAACACGCTATCCCGAAGCTATTCCTATGAGAAAATTAATGCTCTTGCTATTGCGAGACGCTGGGTGAAATTTTTTATCCCAGGTTGGATTGCCACGAGAGATACAATCAGATCAGGGATCTAATTTCACTTCTAAGATCTTTCGAGAAGCATTATCCCACCTAGGAATAAAGTCTGTACTTTCAACCAGTTTATCATCCACAGTCACAAGGGGCTCTTGAGAGATTTCATCAGACACTGAAGTCCATGATGAGAGCTTATTGTGAACATTTTTCTAGAGACTGGGATGAGGGTATACCTTTTCTTCTGTTCGCTATGAGAGAAAGTGAGCAAGAAAGTCTCGGATTTAGTCCGTTTGAATTAATATTCGGACACCAAGTGCGTGGTCCTCTCGCATGTGTTGAAAGACGTTTTGGGCAGGAAAATCAAATCCATCATTGAGTACTTCACCTTCATTAATGCAACAACATTTGACAGCCGCTAGAGAGCTAGCTTCGAAAACCTAGTTTCAGCCCAAGCTAGAATGAAGCAACATTATGACAAGTGTGCTGTCTCTCGTTCTTTTAAAGCAGGAGATAAGGTGATGGCTCGGAATTAGTACCAGGTCATGCTCTACAAGCCAGGTATGATGGTCCCCTGGAAGTAGTGAAAAAGCTTAGCGACGTAAATTATTTGGTACGTACGCCTGGGAAAAAGAAATCTAATCATGTGTACCATGTTAACCAGCTCAAGGCATACTACCTACTACCTACCTACTACTACCTACTACCTACTACTTCTATTCTTCCTAGGACAGAGGAAGAAAACGTCAGTCTACCTGACATCTCTAGAGGTATAGAGGTGCGTTTAGAAAATTCTGTGACTCTACAGTCACTAGACGATTTTCTTAGTAACCTTGGGATTGATAAAGCTGGTGATATTAAAAACATGATTTTGCATTTCCCTGAATTGTTCGGTGATGTTCCTAAACGTTTGTACTCTGGGTGTACATGACGTTGATGTACAGGGAGCATCACCCATTAAGCAATCACCATATAGGATGAGTCCAACAAAGCATAAAGCATTGAGAGAAGAGGTTGATTTTCTGTTATCTCACGGACTTATTGAACGCAGTAAAAGTCCATGGGCATCTCCCTGTATTTTAGTGCCTAAACCTGATGGTAGTTTCAGGATGTGCACTGATTACAGGAAAGTGAACTCTGTCACCTTGCCTGATGGTTATCCTCTACCTCGCATTGACGACCTTATTGATCGTGTGTCAGGAGCCCAGTTTGTCAGCCGTTTAGATCTCTTACGAGGCTATTATCAAGTCCCGCTTACTGAACGTGCTCAAGAAATATCTGCTTTTACTGTTCAAGATAGATTGTTTAACTACCTCGTCACCCCCTTTGGCCTATGTAACACGGCTTCTTCATTCCAACGTATAATGAACGAGTTGACCCACAACTTAGAAGGGAGTAGAAGCCTACCTTGACGACTTAGTGGTGTACAGTGACGAGTGGGAACAGCACTTGACTACGTCTCAGAGCATTGTTTGAGAGACTCGCGCACTACAACTTCACTGTTAACTTAGCTAAATGTAGTTTTGGTCAAGCCAAGATTACCTATCTAGGCTTTTGTATCGGCCAAGGTGAGGTTGCTCCTATTGAGGCTAAGGTTCGTGCAATTTCTGAATTTCCAGTGCCACAGGATAGGAAAGGAGTACAGAGATTCCTGGGTATGGCAGGATATTATCGCAGGTTCTCTCCAAACTTTTCTCAGATTGCAGCTCCTCTCACCGAGCTTACTAGTAGCAAAGTTCAGTTCACCTGGACTAGAGATTGTTCAGACTCGTTCAAAAGGTTGAAGCGCTTGCTATCCTCTGCTCCTGTGTTGAAGAGTCCTAATTTCAATCTTCCCTTCTTTTTTATATAGATGCGATGGTTTGCAGTGGGCGCTGTGCTGCTCAACAGTCAACTAACTGATATTCTCCATCAATTTTTACTATTCACCCTAAGCTTAAACGACACCAGAAAAATTTTTGCCCTATTGAGAAAGAGGCTCTAGCTCTTGTGGTGTCCTTGGAACATTTTGACGTGTATTTGGGAAATTTCCCCCATTTAAAATTTACGTTTTTTCTGACCACAAATCCACTCACTTATATAAATACTATGAAGAGTAAAAATGTAGGATCATGAGGTGGGCCCTCAGAATCCAACCTTTTGTGACTTTTGTGGAGGATCTGCTGATGATCCCTAGTGTCGTTATTTTAATTCCTTGTTCCTGATTCTGTGTCGCAGTTGCTTGTTACATTGTTTATTGGGTTTTAGCGTTTTTTTATTGTTAAGCAGATGTTCTGATTGCCAGTTGGTTTCTAAGAAGTTAGTTTATTTGAGGACTTTGTCACCCACTTGTTTAAGTCTAGTCGAGTCGTGATACATAGCAAACTACTTAGAGCATTTACAACATATACACACAAACTTACTTGTACATATTTGTAATATCTTATTAAATGTTAATGTACCAGAGGGTACTTAAGAATTATAAATGTGATATGTGCTTTCAGCACAATAATACTGTACACGAGAGAAGTGATTATTATTAATTTGTTTGAATTGTTTAAATTTTAAATTTTTAATTTGATGATATACCTCTAGACGATACTTAATAAATTTATTAAATTTTATTTTCTCTAGTTAGTAGCCTACCAGTTGTAATCCTGAAGCACTATTGAATCATACTGAATTCTAATGGATAATTGGACAAGGATACTGACTAATTGTTACGAAAACCCAGTAACAGGCTGGATGCTAGAAGGGCAGTCCTTTCTAGTATTCACTGGAGATCTCTAAGCTTTTAGAATCGCGTTTTTTGTAACAAGGAGTATGCATGATAAACACACAGGGCAGTGTTTAGTTAAGTCTGCAGATGGAGGCTGCCCCAAAGGGAAACCCAAGGACCATACAGAATGATACAACAGACTAATACACCTCTCTCCCCAATATGTAAAGGAGTTCCTATTTGGGGCTGCAAGTACAACAAAGGAATGATAATATTTGATGAGATTTCCTCAGTCTCGGGCAATTATCCAAGAGACAGACAGGTAGATTGTATACACAGCGATGAAGAGTTTACCAAATTTATTTTAAATGCCTTATAAGAAAAATGTAAATACTTTCCAGGTACATTCTTCAGGAAAGATCTTGACATTATACAGTGGAACCTCGGCTTTTGTTTTTAATTCATTCCAGAGTGTCTGAGGGAAAACCAAATTCGACGAAAACTGAAGCAATATTTCCTATAAGAAATAATGTAAATCCAATTAATCTGCTCCAGACACCCATAAATATTAACAAAAAATACATTTTATAGACACTAAACTATAGCTTTACATACAGAAAAATGAGAAAATAAATATAAAGCACTAATGAAATGGATAAATGAACATTTAAATCACTTTTACCTTTACTGAAAGCTCTAGTTGGCGTATGGAAGATGGTGAGGAGGGGAGAGGGAGGAGAGGTTATCTCTACCACCATTACTATGAGAAACTATGAGCAAACAAAGCCAGACTGACTCAGAATGCGTGTGTGGAATGATTTGTGTGGGCACGGCACGCAGACACGTTCGGTACGGCCTCTTTCCACAATGACAACCACCCTCTACAACCATCACTACCACCCTCTACAACCATCACTACCAGAAACTACGAGAAACAAAGTCAGACTGACTCGGAATGCATGCATGGGATGCTTTATGTGGTCGCGGCAGGCAGACACATTCTGTACGGACAAAAACTGAGGTGACAAACGAAAACTGGGACAATATTTTGATGAAGTCGTTGAAAACTGAATTCAACGAAAACCAGGGCAAATGAAAACTGAGGTTCCACTGTATCAATGAGTTTGAGCAATTTTTAAGTTATAATACAGCATCTGTGCCAAGTAAAGGAAAAAAAATTTCTACAAAACAAAATTTATGGAAAAGTTAACTCACCTTTTTACATACTTCATCTATGAGACAAGCATGTTTCCCTGATATTCTAAATTTTGAAGAAGTCTTGCTCTTCTCCTTGACTGTCGAATGTTTGTGCTTAAAGTCAGAATGTTGAGAATAGCTTTATTTTTTCCCTGTTTGTCACAATGAGGTTCCTGCTGGCACTTTTCACTCCCCTGCATGTTCTTATCATTCTTTGCTTCTGAACCCACAACTTCCATTTTTGATTCTTCTTTCTGTTCGCAATTATCATCAGTCCAAAGCAAATAATTTCCCTGTTCAAAATCTAAATAGTCCTCATCTAGCATTGCTTTTTGTTTAGAATTTTCTGTTACATGTTCAGAGTTTGGCTCATCTTCATAATTCTCAGCAGTCTGCTTACAACATGGGCCTTTCTTGTTCAAACATTCCAATGAGTCCTCTGTATATGCGTTATCTCTGCAATATTTAGTTTCCAGCTTAGGTTGCACATCACCTTGTTCAAACTTCTGGATTGCTTGCTTGGATTTATTGTTTTGCTGTTTTAAACTCCACAGCCTCTGTCTGGATTTGGAACTGTCTTGTCCTGAATCTTTTACAGTCAACTCTGTTCAGAATTTTCGGCTTCAAGTTTATAAACTGGATCTTCTTTCTTAGAATCCTTAATTTCAGAATTCACTATTGGATATTCTTGTGTGGTATCCTCGGTTGATTGTTTAGGCTTAGAATAATCCTCTTTACAATTCTTATTTAAATGCTGTGGTTTTGAACATTCCTGAGATATATGCATCAAGTCTGAGTTTTCTTGTTTAAAATCTTCATTTGTATGTTTAGTTTCGGAAGCCTCTTGTTCCAAATTATCAGTTGTCTTCAGCCTTTATCTTTCTCTTCAGAATCCTTGATAATCAGCTTCAACTCTTCACTTCCTTGCATATATTTATCATACTCATTTTTTAAGCCTGCAACTTCCATTTTAGAATCCCCATTCTCTTCATAATACATTTCACTCCAAAGCAAATAATCTCCATACTCAAAATCTATAGAATCCTCATTTAATTTGGTCTTCTGTTTGGAATTACCAGTTTTATGTTCATCCTTGGAATTTTGATGAGAATCTTCAGTTGACTGCTCTGTATTTTTTCCTTTGGAACACACGGTTTCTGACTGTAGATGGTTTTCCTGTTTAAAATTCGGGGACTGTTTGCTTTGAATTGCTGTATTTTTGAGTAAAAATCTTCAGCTTCTTGAATAAATTTGGAATTGCCTTGTTTTGAATCTTTCAAAATCAACACTGTTTTAGAATCTTTATTTTCCAGTTTAGAAACATTTTCTTTAGAATCTTCTGTCACCTGCTTAAATTCTTCACTTCCCTGCTTGTTTTTGTCATTCTCCTTTTCTGAACCCACAACTTCCATTTTAGACCCATCTTCCTGTTCACAATTAATATCAGGCCAAAGCAAATAATTTTCTTGCTCAAATCTAAGTAGTCTTCTTACCATGGCCCTTTTGTTTAGAATTTTCTGTTACAGGTTCAGAGTTTGTCTCATCTTCATAATAATTAGTGGCCTCCTTAAAATTCGTACTTTCCTGTCTAAATTTTTGTTGAGTACTCTGTATCTGTGTTTAGCTTTGAGATACTCAGTTTCCAGCTTAGTTTGCAGACTTTCCTGATCAGCCTCATTTGAGTTTTTGGTCTGCTGTTCGAACTCCACAGTGGCCTGACTGAATTTGGAATTGTCTTGTTTTGAATCTTTCATAGTCAACTCGTATTTAAACTCTTCGGTTTCCTGTTCAGAAACTGTATCCTCATGCTTTAAATCCTGAGTTTCTGAAATCACCTTTGGACATGTGTTACCCTCGGCTGACTGCTCAGTTTTCTGTCCTGTATGCCCAGCTTCATGTTCAAATTCTGACTTTTCTACATAATCATTAGCCACTTCCTTAGAATCACTCAAAAATCTTTCACTTTCTTTGCACTTTGTATTCATACTGCTTTCACCTGTTTTTTCTGAGCTTGTGTTTGAAATGTGCATAATCTTAGTGTCCATGTCTCTAATGACAGAGGCTGGCAGAGGGCTTCTACAACATAGCTGGAATATATCCTCAAAACTGAGTGATGCCTCCTCTGCCTCATCAACTGAAAGATGAAACATTACGTGAGCACACCCTTGCATATAACATAGTAACTACAATAATGTAAAATGTAAATGTAATCAAATCTGTACTGAATATCTTAACTTCACTGACATATTTTGGATACAAGAATTATCAGAACTATAAATATATTTCCTATTAAACACTGAAACATTGTAGAGAAAATTTCAAATCAATTTACAAATACAAATCTCATGTTTTACTCATCCTCATGTGTTTTCACAAGACCACAACACAAAGACACAGA